AACTTGTTTAAAGGTGTATTCTTATGGCATCCTCTGCATCAAATAGCTCACTTGGTATAGAAATAATCTCCGCCATTGCTGTTTTCAGATGAGGAATCACCTAGAATATGATCTCTTTGCTAGAATCCAGCTGATAATTCTAACATCCCTAGATGTGTCCCAATGATCACTTCTGCTTCTTCATGAGTTGCTTTTTGGAGAAGACTCTAGAGGAGGGTAGATAAAGAAAGAAAGCCGGAGAGGCAGGTTTTCTGCTTCCAGCTTCCTGGGCAAAGCAAAATGAACTTCCTGCTGTTTGATTTAATAAGAATCAGTGTCTAGCTCATCGGATCGGTCATACTCAATTGGCAGAAAAGAAGTGTTTTGGGATGTCTGCATTTCATTTTGGCATGTACACTGATATTCCCTTATGTCTTTTCCGAAAGGCACAAAGTAGCAATGTTGTGGCACTATTTCTCTGGTCTGATCCCTGTAAGTTGTATCTTTTACGTAAGAGTTTAATTTTAACTTTATGTCAAAAGTAAGTTTAAATTTTCCATGATTTTATTCTTCAAAATGTGTATGATAATCTATGTTACACTGGTTGAGGTTTCCTATTCTGTTTTCCCATCCTGAGGTACTTTGAATATCACATTTGAAAACTGTTTAGGTCTCACTCTGGTTTTCATATTCTTAGCCATGGAGTTTATCTGGCAATTATAAAGCACCTACTATGTGCTTTCATTTTGAATCCCAGGAATTCATACTAAATATGAAGCAGTATTTGTCAAAGAACTTTCTATTCTTTTATCCATTTCTCTTTTTTGATCTGTAATCACCACTTCTTAGCCTAGGCAAGAGAAAAGCTTATAAGATGCCTTTTTCTTTTTATCAGCTGGGCCATAAGCAAGTTACTCTTCTTTTCATTTAAAAAAATAAATAAAAATCCTTAAGGAGATTTTAACACTTCTCTGGTCAAAATATACTTTATAAAATTAATGTCAATTAATTTACATCTTTGCATTCACAGCTGTTTTGTAGATTTGGATTGCAGACCACAACTGGGTTGGAGGAGGGCCAAAAATTGATGGAGGAAGAAACGAGGTTTATCGAAATAAACTTTACAATTACACTAGAGACTAGAGAAAGTCTTCTTTGCATGGGATTGGGAAACACAACAATAAGGCCCCCATGACTCACCCAGGGTCACTCAGCAGTGTGGTCAGCTAGGAATGGAACTCCAAGTCCCAACTTTCTGTCCCTGTCCTAACCACCAGCCCACACTCCCTCCTATGTTACCGTCACTCTTCACAGGTGGAACTCTCTTTGAGGTTAGCAGGAACCTCATACAGAATCAAACACTGGGCAGCTGAGGCCGTGTGCAGCAATGACATCTGCACCCTTTATAGAATCTTAATGGGAAGTGAAGCCCATGTAGGAATAAAGACTGAGGGCTTAAACACTGACACAAATGAGGTTAGCTGATATTACCTACTTCGCATTCTGCTTTGCCCTGAAATCGCAAGGGTTTCAGGTCATTGTCAGTTTCAGGTCATTGTCAGATCCCCCTCTAAAAGAGATTGCCAAGAACAAAGAAACCAAATCGGGAAAAAGTAAAAGTAAAAATAAAAACCTCTGACCAAGCTAAGATTCTAAACATAGCTTTTCCATTTACCTCAATGCAGATAATTCTAAGGTATATATTTCTGATTCTATTCATTCCATTTAAAAGAGAAAGACCACACCAGGGTAAGCAATGCAGGGTGGTCAGACATATAATCTAATGACAGTGTGTGGAAGCCACTACAGAAGACAGCAGGAGCACTGCCAGAGTGTGCTACGAGGCTGAGTGGCTGATTTCTATGCAGGGTCCACCAATATTTTCCAAGTATAGACAGTTTTTATTGAAATAAAAATAGAAAATGCAGGACCAGAGCTCATACTAAAATTTCAGTTTAGTAAAGACACCAAAACTGCCCGTGACAGTAGAAGATATATTTTGGCCTTGCTATCCATAACACAGAGAAATGAAACTGTATACTAAAACCTTTTTATGAGTAGGCTAAAAGCTTGTCAGTCTTTACAAAACACCATGGAGCTGATGTCTGTTTCTTGTGCATTTGCTTTCCACTGACTGAAACAATGCTTTTCTGATCCATTGGTTTTGCTTACAATTATACACTTTTTTTTTTTTTTTTTTTTTTGAGATGGAGTTTCGCTCTGTCCCCCAGGCTGGAGTGCAGTGACCGGATCTCAGCTCACTGCAAGCTCCGCCTCCCGGGTTTACGCCATTCTCCCGCCTCAGCCTCCCGAGTAGCTGAATTATACACTTTTTAAAAATATGAAGAATCAGCAGAGATCAGCAGGAAATGAATAGCTAATGCAATTACTCCAAAATTATAAAAGTACAGTCATCATGAGGTACTCCTGCTACTCTCTACCTCTGCCCTTTTTCTAAGTAATGTATTGTCTAGTTTTGAAATTATCAGAACATCACAGCAGAATGTGGAAGCACGTTAAAAAGACCTGATTTCCCTGAGTTAGTGTCTAGAAAGGACCAGTTGTAATAAGATTTAGCAAAGATCAGATAGGACATAGAAGGAAATTTATAGGTCAGTGAGTGAGGGCTTTGGTTTTTCCACATATATATTTTAATTCTGTGGGATCTCTAAATTTCCATTTAGGGTTAGAAGGTAGTAAAGATAGCCATGTCTAGAACCATGTCTAATCAATACCTTATAAGGGTACGCGGCCAAAAATATACCTTGAATGGGCTGTACAGCCTTTGCTATCAAGTCCCATGTCTGCTCACGTTTTTAGAAGGCAGCCTGGGTGATGGCACAATGTATGTGATAGAATAAGCCTCAGTTCCAGGACTGGCTCTACTGTTCACTAGCTGGGTAACCTCTAAAGTTTAAAATCTCTCAACTGGAAAAAGAGAATAATAACATTTTTCCTACCTCTCTGTTGTACAATCAATGAGATCATGAAGGCAGAAGTGTTAGGAAAATTTAAAATACAGAAACACGTAGATATTGCTACAGGTATCACACTTTAGTACAACGGTAACCAAATTGCCTTTATTATCTTATCCGTCTACCTAACCTCCATCACTATTCTATCTAGGACTTCCTTGGCTGCTGAATGTTTCCTGATTTGATCTCCCAACAGTTCAGAAATACTAAATATCATAGCAATTTTATTTTTCTTTGGCAGCCAGTGATATTTACCTGGCTTTTATCCCAACTTCATGAGTATCATGTGTATCAAAGTGCTGACTACAAGTTTTTGGAATCAACTATTTTACTCAGTATCTTTTGGTAACTCTGGTATGACTACCTTGTTAATATATTTAGGGTACCTCTTGCTTTTTTTGAAATCATGAGTGTATTTTCTTCTCAATGACATATATTGGATCATTAAGGGAGAAACTAAAAAAAAAATTGTTGGAGAAATGTTTAGTCAATGGTTCCAAAGATACACACACACACACACACACACGAATGCCCTTTCAATTAATACTAGTATTAACTATTGTGATGTGGCAAAACAAATAATTTACAGTTGATTCCTAAAACCTGTAGTCAGTTAATATAATTAAAATTTAAAAATCATAATAAAGATCATACATATTGATTATAATAATGTATTATTATTAGATTTTTTAAATCAAAGATATACTTCCTGTAATATCAAAATAAAAGGCACTGTTTTTCAAAAATGTGCTTTTCTTTATTTCTTAACCCTCACAGTATTTTCCTGGGAGTTTAGCAAACCTTGTAAAACTGAACAAAATTAGGATTTTGTGCTTCTATGATTACAGAAGGAGCATATCAAGCTGACTTGAAAATCTTAAAAAAAAAGAAAAAGAAAAAGAGAAAGAAAGAACCGTTCTTATTTCAAAGGCTCAGAAAATAAAGCTTATTTACCATACAGACCTAGACTTCTTGTTAAGTTGTTTTTGAGATAGCAAATTAGAAAAACATGGCCAGAGTTAGAAGTTACTCAATCAGGTTGAGGCTGGGACTCTATTCCAGCAGCTCCTATTCCCCAAATTGTATCTGATAATACTCTAAAGTCTAAACATATTTTAGTTCAAAAAGATACTTGGCTCTTAGATAGAAAATGGCACTAAGCTTCCAAAAATCAACAGGTTTACCCACCCTTTTCAAATGATGTATTTGTATTCAGAGTAATCTGCCATTCAGTACCTCTGAATTGTAACATTTGAGGAACTGCAATTTTGAGCTGAAATGTTTGTTTTTTATTTGCCTATGCATAATCACAGGATAGGAGCATTAATAAAAGGGTTGGTATATTGGCCTATGCTGAGGCCTATTATTTAGGCAGAGTCATGGCAACAGAGCAATGCTGAACGTGTCCAAGGGTACCATAATTTCAGCCTGTATTGTGTCAAGTGGAAGAGAAGACGTGTCCGCAGAGAGAAGGAATGAAAAATACAAACATATTTGAAATTAGCTCTGCATTTTCAAACCAGAAACAGCATCTGTATTTCCAAGTAACTCAAGAAATATGGGTAGTAAGTCTTGCCCCACGCCGGCTACAAAAGTATTATCTGTTAAGCAATATGGCGCCCACAAACTTAAAATCGGCAAAATCCATTGAACTGCATTTCCAAGAGAGTAGGAGACTTGAAATGGTAGTGCTCTGAGGATGTCCACGTGGGTGGGCAAGCATATGTTGCTTTTAAGCAGAGGAAGTGGCACACCACGATTTCTTCATAAGTGTGAGGTCTTTATAAACTCATCCTCATGGGGGCTGTTTTAAATAGAAAGAAAATGGCACACAGTCCCCAGCCAAGCTTCCTAACTGTGTGTGTGTGTGGGGGGGGTTGCCACTTTCCCAAAACATTAGGTTACTGTGGGCAAATTTTCCAAAATTGTCAACAATTTCATTTTTAAACTGAGTTCTTCCTCTCAGCATAAGACAGATGCAATACAGCACAAACTATATTTGGTCTAGCAGGAGATGTAAGTTATTTTTACTACGCTGACTCCTACCTGACAGTGGAAGACATATTCTGGTGTGGTTTTCTTAAACTTCATGTTCCAAACCAAGGCCACTCCATCTGGTTCATGGGGAGCATCTTCATTGTTGTTGTAAGAAGCCACCATCAGCTCAGGGTACTAAATGGAAGAGGTCACAAAGATGAATTATGCTAAGATGACAACACAAGGAAAACTTCGTTATTACTACGTACACGTGGTATACTGCATAGTGTAAATGGTGCTTTCTATGTTCTGGCATACCTAGTATCAGTTTATTGCTGCAACCTCCTGCAGTCTTTCTTCTGCCTCCAACACTCCGTATGTGCTTGTCATACTCACCGGTAACTATCAAACTACAAACATCGCTTTACCTCTCTGTATTATATGACACTTTGTGCTACTCCCTTCCTGCTCCAGTATTGGCTTCCATTACATCTTTCTCTCCTGATTCTCTTCCCTGACTTCTCATTTCAGTTCCTGCCAGTTCTCCTTCTATTACATATATTCCAAGGAGGCCTGTTCTCCCTGAGTAAGTTCATCTACTCCAGTGGCTTTAGTAAGCTTGACATGCTGGTAATTTTCAAATCTATATCTCTAGGCTTAATTTCTCTCTGAAATGCAGATTTCATTTCATAGTGGGGATTGCTCAGGATTGCCCATAGACACATCACTTGCAACACATAGAAAAATGAGCTCATTGACTTCCACACGAAACCTACGGCTCCTCCGTGTTCCCTATTTTAGCATCTTGCACTAACATGTGCCTGGCCCAGGCCAGCTGTTCTACATTTATTTTTACTTCTTTCTCTCTCTCACTCCCATTTACTAAATTTCCCTAATTCCTCAATACCTTTTAAATGAATATTTTCTTTCTATCTTTAAGGTCAGAGCCTGCTAACTTAATTTCTTATCTGGATGAAGGCAACAGTTTCATAAATGGCTTCCTACACTGACCTACTCCATTCTTCATCGTTTATCAGGAAGACTTTACAAAATATACATTTGGCTAAGTAATTTCTCAGCTTAAAATACTTTAATGGCTCATCATTACTTTCAAGGCAAAATGCAGGTCACATAGGATCCTTAATAATCTGTCATTTTCTGCCTTCCCTGCTTACTCTCCTACAACCTTCCCTCTTTCTCCCCACCTCCCACACCCTATGACCCAGCCTCACTGGACTAGTTTTGAGGCACACAGGTACATCTATGTACCTATAAGTCTCATACTCACTCTCACTGGGATGCCTCTTCTGTGTTGTTTACATAATTAACTCATCCTTTAAGACTCAACACAGGCATCAAGTCCTCCAGACAATCCTGACTTAACCAACCACTTCCTTCCTCGCCTATTATCAACTCCCTTAGTATTATGTGTCTGCCCTGCCAATTAAAGCACACGTCAAATGCATTATAATTTTTTTTCTATACCTATGTCTTGTCACTGGATTGTAAGCTCTTTGAGTGTAGGGACTGGTTTTTATTGACCTCTGAATCCAGGGTCAATTCCTAGCACATAATAAACTTGTGCCAAAATTTCTTTAATTATTTAAAATTTTTAATTTTAGTAATTATGTGCTCAATAGAAAGGCTTTTTATTTCATCCTTTGTTGTCAAACAATGCTAATAATTAAAGGCTTAAATGCAAGAAGCATACCCAGTAAAATAACAAGAAAGACTCTGTAGTGATTCTAGGTATTAGAAAGACCTACACACCCTACATCAACTCTGTCCTGAGTGTTATTAAATAAACTAAGGACAAATCTCATAGGAAGTACTTTTGAGTTAGGACACATTTCATGAAAATGTCATTACTACACAGAAGTCTCAAAAGGCAGCCCTATTAAATACAGCATCAGGATTATAGCAGATCATATCACTCTCTTCTTATAATTTATTTTTTTCCTCCTTTTTCATTATTCTATACATATATTTTATGGAAGATTGTCTTTATGAATTTGAAGACAGATCTTTTTTTTCTATTAAAAATAACTAAATCTAAGTCTTATTCATTCTTCCAGCAGCCTCAACTAAAGAAAGCTGCAGAGAGTTACAACTTGCTGGTTGTGCAGAGGAAATATAAGCATACAGTGATACACATGTATGTGGCCACCAGGGGAAGTAATCATTCTTTATTAAAAAACGCTCCTCAGCGGATAAATCAAAGGCCTATTAAGAAAGGCCTTTGATTCAAAGCCCATTCAAAGAAACTAACATCCAGATAAACACAGAAGTCTCCAGACTGTCCATCTGAAGTTTAACTATGTCACATGTGAAAAGGCAACTCTATAAACATCAACACCACTACCACAGGGGCCAAGGAGCGGCCAGATGCTTCTGCAATAATATCACCCAGCTGGGTCTCATTGTTGGCACCCACTTACAGCTTTTCTTTTTCCACTTAAAAATATTTAAAATTATTTAGTTTTAAAACTCCTTTAGAAAACAGGGAGTGCTTTAGCAAACTTATCAGTGAAATGCCATTGGCATAATTTCTATAACTGAGATCGTAAGGCCAAAAGATACTGATTTAAATTTTATCTCATGCAAGTTTTTGGGATTTCAAGGTGCCCTCTAGTATGTCTTTTTCCACTGTTTGTTTGAACATGACTACTTATATTTTCTTTTTCCAGTAAAAATCGCTAAACCATTATTTAATCTTAAATGTCGTTCAAAATTATGATTTTAAAGAGAATATAAAGAATTACTAAATTCATGATCATTTGGTTACTCATAGGGCTGAATTATCCAATATTTACTCTAGGAGAATTTTACCTGGAAATTACCAGATACGCTTTCAAGCCCATTTTTTCTAACAACTAAATGAAACCTGGGGGAGGGGGGGAGGCGCAGTGGCTCATGCCTGTAATCCCAACACTTTGGGAGGTTGAAGCCGGCAGATCACTTGAGGTCAGGAGTTCGAGAACAGCCTTGCCAACATGGTGAAACCCCTTCTCTACTAAAAATACAAAACTTAGCCAGGCTTGGTGGTGTGTGTCTGTAATCCCAACCACTCAGGAGGCTGAGGCAGGAGAATTGCTTGAACACAGGAGGTGGAGGTTGCAGTGAGCTGAGAGTGCACCACTGCACTCCAGCCTGGGTGACAGAGTAAGACTCTGTCAAACAACAACAACAACAACAACAACAACAAAAACTAGCATTTACTAGAAAGGAAGGAACCATCATGTTTTAAGTGCCCGTTAGGTACCAGACACTGATATGTTAATTCATTTGGTCCTCATAACCCTCTAAGGTAGGCAATGGTTTACTCATTTCCACAGACAAAGAAACCCAGAGCCTGGGTTAAATAACATATTCCAAGCTTTGTTGCTAATAAGTGATAAAGCAAGAACCCCACTTGAAGTCTGTTGGGCTTCAAAAGCTTTGTCCTTTCCTCTCCACTGTGGCAAGCCTCAAGTGTCCCCTATAAATATGTAAGGCACCATGGCAGGTAAAATACGTGACATGGATGCCCTGAATAATAGGCTCTTCTCTATAGGAACTTATCATTAGGTGGAGGGAGGTAAGACACCTGTAGAAATAACTACAAGACAAATACAAAAGCAGACCATGACATGTGCTAAGATAGAGACAGAAGCAAGGTTCTGCAGAAGCATGGGGCCAGGCATGCTGACTCACGCCTGTAATCCTGGCACTTTGGGAGGTCGAGGAGGGCGGATCACCTAAAGTCAGGAGTTCAAGATCAGCCTGGCTAACAGGGTGAAACCATGTCTCTACTAAAAATACAAAAATTAACCAGCCCTGGTGGCTCGCTCCTGTAATCCCAGCTACTCCGGATGGGGAGGCACGAGAACGCTTGAACCCAGAAGGTAGAGGTTGCAGTAAGGGGAGATCATGCCACTGCACTCCAGCGAGGGCAACAGAGTGAGATTCCATCTCAAACATAAATAAATAAATAAGCATGGAAGCTGGTATGGGGTGTGGCAGTAAGAGAAATTGAAAGGGATTTCCGAGAAGAAATGAGACCTTAAGCCTTGTCAAGTGGGTAGGTTATTAGGACAGATGACAGTAGGGACAAGAGTCCAAAGAGGGGTGCAGGAGACCCCTCTTGGTATCTGCCTGGTTCATGTGAATCTCTCTTTGGATCCAGTAAATAGAAGCCTAACTTCCCAGGGATAATTAATTAATTGCAGGGTTGATACTTGACCCAGCTGAGCCAATCACGTTCTCTAACCAGAATATTGTAAACTTTGAACTGAGACACAGGACCCGGGAGCTGGCAAAGGGGTCTGGATAAGGACAGCAGCTTATTGGTGAGGTCCCTCAAGCTGCCCAGATTCCTACAATTTCTGTTTTGGTTCTTCATCTTTTTCATGGATTCCCTAACTACTATAATGACTCCCCAGTAAATTCCTCTGTCTACTGAATGTAGCCAAAGGTAAAGTCTTTTTGACCAATACAGTGAAGAAGAATATGTCCAATAGACATCAGGTTGTAGTATTACTATGTGGCTAGGAGGCAGGCTATATCAAGCTATATAAAAGAAGAAAGGCCTGGAAATGCCTCAAGGCATCATCACGGAAGTCACTGAGTACAGGCTAATGATTTTAGATTTTATTCTGGGGGACAAAATAGGAGTCATACTTTGCAGCTAATGATAATACTGCTACTGCTTTTCTCACTACTATGTCACATGTATTGAGTGTTTCTTATGCACCAGACACTTTTAAAATTATCAATCCTTTATTTTTATTTTATTTTAAGACAGGATCTTGATCTGTCTCCCAGCCTTGAATGCAGTGATGAGATCTTAGCTCACTGCAACCTCTGCCTCCAGGCTCAAGCAATCCTCCCACCTCAGCCTCCCAAGTAGCTGGGACTGCAGGCATGCACCACCATGCCTCACCAATATTTGTATTTTTTGTAGAGATGGGGTTTTGCTATGTTGCCCAGGCTGTCTTGAACTCCTGGGCTCAAGTGATCCTCCTGCCGTGGCCTCCTAAAGTGTTGGGATTACAGGTGTAAGCCACTGTGTCCAGCCAAATTATCATTCCTTTATATACATTAATTCATTTAATACTCACAATAGGTGTGTGAGCTAGATACTATTATCATCATTTCATGAATGAAGAAACTTAAGCCAAGAGAAGTTAGGCAACTTGCCCAAGTTGATACAGAGTGTATAAGTAATCTTTACAAAGATTAATCTGGTAAAAGTACTTATACTGACTTAACATTATAGAGACTGACATTAGGGAGACCAGTAAGAAGCTGTTTCCTAACATAATCAAGAAGTAGAGAGCATGACATAAAGTAGGTGTCAAATCCATGTTTGTGGATTTGCATTGCTGTCAATAGTAATCTTTTTGCTATTGTAAATTTGATTGGATTTAGCAACTAACTGAACTGCCAAAGATTACTCAGGTTTGCATCCTGGATGACTGCAGGAGTGGAAGATGCAATTTACATGTGAGAGGAAGTGAGTATACATGGTGGGAGTAAGATCATGAGTCTGATTCTGCACACATCTGAAAACTCTGTCACATGGTGTGTGATAATATTATTGACTCACTGTGCTAAATAATGTTCAGTGGGTGACAAAGTTGACATAATCCTCCAGGTTCCCAGATTTCTTCCAAGGAATGATGTTTGATGATGTTTTGTAAATATTTCAAAGTTAAAGTGTTCTAGTTTAAGCAGCCCAGGAGATTAAAAAAAAAAAAAAAAGCTATGCTGAAACCTTATAATTTCTTCCTTTTTCTCCCCTCAGTTCTATTCTGTTACATTCAGGAAATCATCCTAGACATACATGCCACCACTACACACCAAGACTGTTCCTCTATCTCTCTTCTTTCTTAATATCATTGGATTGCATCTAAATCCATCAAAAAGTCTCTTTATCCCATAAGTATGTAATCCTGGTCCTTTGAACCCCACAGAAGTGTTGTGATGTAGGAGCTGAGCATTCTAATCTCTTTTTCTTGTGCCTCATATACAATGCATTTTTCAAAATTGCAAACATTTCCCCCACAGCGTAGGTGGGTAGGTCACACAAAAATAGGGGAAAATAAATGTGGTCTCTCCATGGTAGAGTTTCTGTTATTCCCAACTTACTTCCTCCAACACAAACATCATGCAAGACCCTATGTGGAAACACATCCACGGGCAATGTGGCCCATCACCTACTGAGGCAAGGCAGGGCCCAGCCTCACCCCATGCCTCCTCAGGGAGTGTTATCAGCTGACCTGAGAACAAGGTTGTAGTTGCCTTTGAGGAATGTGTCAGATAAGGTTCCTGTGTAATTCCCCGACTCTGAACAAGTGAACAAGCCGAGCTAAGTGCTTCCTCAGGCTTGGATCTGATTTCTGTGCACACACTCAAGCGTGCTCAGAGACCACCCACACACTGGCGGAAAGCGGTTGGGCAAACCCTGCTTGTCTCAGTCTCTGCACGATCATGCACTGTGTGCTTTGTTGTTTGGATACAAAAAGGGATTCAAGAGGAGAGAACATTCAACCACTTGATGGCTGATGAGGGTCTAGTTATGGGGAATTACACCCCTCTTTTGTTCCCCTGTTCTTCAATAGGATTAATTGGGACTTATCCATTTTATAGCTCTGCCTAGAACACCCTCTTCTCCCCTCCATTTGTCTAAATCTCAGTCTTCTGAGAAGCGCTGTCTGACCAGAGGCAGATTCCAACCTTCACTGAACTTTGAGAGCACTTGCTATCTGCCCCCATATCATTCTGCACCTTTACAAGCTCTTTTAGTTTCAGATCCAGAAGGTCTCTGTGGGAAGCAGTGGTTAAGAGCATATGCCTTGGGATGCTAAAATACTTTGGTATAAATCCCCACTATACCATACCCTAGTTGAGTGATTTTCAGCAAGTTACTTAGCTTCTCTGAGCCTCAACTTCTTCAAATATGACATGGAAATAGTAAGGGTGGCTGCCTCACATGACTGTTATGAAGGGAAAATAAGAAAGCCTTCACAGCAGCTGTCATGGTGCTTTGCATATAAGAAAAATAAATTAAAAGCTAGCTATGACTATTATTCCCAATAAAAGCTGGATCGACAACAAGAAAGCAGAAACTGTGTTGTGCATAAGTGCTTAGGAGTAATCATTCCTGCTTCTCTCACTGTTCTTACGTCACTGTTATTGCAGGAAGGAACATTGTTGTTAAGAATGTGGGCTCAGGCATCAGATGCTTAGGTTCAAATTCTGATGTCACCACACTAGGCTGTGTGTTTGCATATGTTACTTACCTACTCAGTGCCTGGTATATTGTTACCTAGTTGAGGTGGCTATTCGGCAAATTGGCTTTTGGTAAATTTGCCTACTTTCACTCTGAATGCCACACTGATGGGCTTAAACTTCCTTTTTACGTATAATGGGGAGTTTTGGTCCAGGGAATGAAGAGATCAGGTTTTTTATTGTTTGTTTTTTTTGAGACGGAGTCTCACTGCATCACCCAGACTGGAGTGCAGTGGCACAATCTCGGCTCACGGCAACCTCTGCCTCTTGGGTTTAAGCAACTCTCCTGCCTCAGCCTTCTGAGTAGCTGGGATTACAGGCATTTACCACCACACTCGGCTAATTTTTGTATTTTTAGTAGAGAAGGGGTTTCACCATGTTAGCCAGGCTGGTCTCAAACTCCAGACCTCAAAAGATCCACCCGCCTTGGTCTCCCAAAATGCTGGGATTATAGGCGTGAGCCACCGCACCCAGCCCAGTGATCCGATTTTTATTTTAGAAAGATTGTTTGGGTAGATTTCCATAGGGGAAAACTGTAGGTGGACAAGCATGAAGGTAGAAATATCAGTTTGAAGGTTAAGAATAGTATTAGATGATGAATATATGAGTGGAGACGTGGAAGGTCTTGGTGACAGACTGGGTCTAGAAGACTAGAGGGAGTTGGCAATGTTGATGAAAGTTCTGCTTTAGGGTCTTGGGTATATTGTGGTGCCTTTAACATAGAGATCATATAATAGGTAAAAAAAGATTTGGGATATATGAAAATAACGAGTTAATAGTTCATTTAAGATTCTATGGGACAGCTAGAATAGTGGCTTTGTCTGGTGTACAAAGTGAAATTCAGCAGGGAGATTGGGCAGGAGATACAAACAGGCTATTCATGGTTGAATCCTTAGCAGTGGAAGAGATCTCCTGCAGACAGCACATTGGGAAGAAGGGCAGTGGTTGAGGGCATGACCACAGGGACCTCAAGGATGGTTAGAGGAAAAGGAAATCTTAGAGAAGTCAGAGAACTAGGAGAGAGTAGAGAGAGTAGTGAGAATTCAATGGAAAGAGGATATTTCTATAGGCACAAGGACGCTGACTAAGCTGCTTGACAAAGAAAGGTCAGGACAGATGTGGGCTTAAAAATATCCACAGGATTTGACAAGTAGGAAATCAGTGGTCATCTTAATGGAGCAGTTTCATGGACAGAACAATCTGGCTTCCTGTTTGGTACCTAGCACATAGTATGTACTCAATAAATACAAATAACTGAGTAGAGAATTGAAACTGAAACTTCAATAAAATGAGGGGGGAAAAAACCAACAAGCATAGAGAGGAAATCATAGGCAAGTAAACGAATCTCTTTTTTTTATATAAATGCCATGAGAACACAAGCCCAGTTTGTCCCAGCCCAGCAATAATTCTTACCTGGAGGGACCAGTCCATACAAGTGACCACTCGATGCTTGGACCAATGCTCATCATAGAACTGACGGTTGAAAGAAAGATTGGCTCCAGCCTGAACATCCCTAGGAGGATTTAAACATCAGAGATAAATATGGAGCTCTTTCTCTATGCTGCTCATATAGAAGCACTGATGTGGCAAAAGCCTGGCACACAATACTCTCTGAGGCTGAAATGTTAATCTAGGCTACATCCCCTGATCAAAATTAAAGAACTAAAGATGGTCTTCTTTTTTTCTAACCTGGCCCAGAAAGGGTTTCTGTGTCTTTTCAAGACTATTATGAAATGTCAGATTTGTTTCAAGTTCCCATCTTGACCAGTCCCAAGCTTTCTCCAACCCTGCTTCAGGCCAGAGCCTCTCCCTGAAAGGCTCTGGCCTGAAGCAGGGTTTATTAGAAATCTCTGCTATCAAGGGAGCACAGCACACCAGAGGATTCTTTGATATCAATACTACCTTATTTGTCCTTAGACCAGAAATGATATGCATGTCTTTATTTACTTGGAAATGCTGATAGGCTGTAGCAGTAGTCTCCTCACTCAATAGTAAGTGATAATTTCTACCATGAGACAGGCGTGGTAGACAGTAGAGGATTCACCAGATATGTTCCAGATACTTATCACTTCTGCCACGGACCAAAATAGCATCTGAGTCTAGGAGGATTACACTTTAGCCAGTGTTTACTTGGCTGACACTCAACTGGCCATAACACCTCCTTCAAGGAACTCAGTGCTGGTTATGCAGTTGCTCCACAAGCTGAGTATTTAAATCCAGTAATGTTTGCTCTGGGCCAGGAACTATGGGATCTGCATAAAAAGCTGCCTAAGTTGCCTGGGCTTTGGTTCAGAAATTCTTCTACACCCACCTTTCCTCTGTTCATTTGCTTCAACTGCTGGCTTGCACCCTGCATCACTTAACTTATATGGCTCTTGTTCAGATTGGGTGACCTGGCTTCCAACAAGTTATTTGGGCTCTAATTAGTAAACCTAATATGACTTTTTTTTCTGCTAACCCTTCCTCAGCTCTGCCACTGCAAACTCAGGCCATGTGTGTGTGTATATATATATACACATACACACACACACACAAACACACACACACAAGTCCTGCCAGGAGCCTAGGATAAAATGGAGCCAGCACACAGAGGGAAATAGGGCCAACAAAATCAGTAAGTCATAGAAAAATGGCTTCTCAAAAGAACACAAAGATTGCAGAACATATATATTCAAAATATTATTGTCTCTTCAAGGCAGTCTAAAGATGCTGCTTACTATTGAGAACATGTTCAGGACTCCCTTTTGAAATTGGTTTTCATGCCTCTGTTACATTCCCTCGAGCATCCTCAATGATGATAAGACATTGTCCTTTAAGAATGTATTTGGATTTTAGAAATGGCAAAAAAAAAAAAAAAAAATCAGGGCTGATGAAAAAGGCAAGAGACCCTACCTTCACATATCATTCTTGGCCAGAAGAGATCTGGGGCTAAGAACAGCTATATTTATGTTTATAAGGCTCATATAGTCCCTCCTGTTCTCCCCATGATGATGGTTGACAGTCATGGCCTTTTCCAGTACCTACGCTACAGTCACAGAGGAAGTCATTTAGGGACACTTGCTTTTATTGATTAGCTTTGTTTTGCCTGTAAATATATTCTTGCATATATTAATATGTTTCCTAAAAGGCATATACACATATGCATACTTTTATGGTACCAAATAGAGGAAACATTTTCCAGTCTCTGTTCATCATTACCCACATGAGTTAACTTCTCCCATACCTCATGTTTATTTTCTTCAATTTACTATTTGCTTGGACATCAGGAATACATCTAGTAGATACAACATGAATCTCCTTTGCTGCTTATAAGAATGTTTTCTCAGAGGATAATGCATGTGACTCTGCAGTCTCTATCACCTGGACTGTTCCCCAGATACCAAGTTCAAAAGCATTTCACAGAAGCACATGATAATTACAAGGAAGCTCTAAGCCAGAAGTTGCCACCAAAGCCCAGAGTCAAAGCTGTTCAGCAAGATAAATTCCAAAATTTCACCCTCCTCTGATTTCTTAATTTGGAATTTTCCTAGTCAGAACATAAATAAATGTAGAATTAACAGATAACTTACGCTATTTTTTAAAGAATGCACACAAGAGACTAACCCATCTTTTTCTTCTAACTCTCGGCCGCTGTAGTCAAAAAAGATGTCGGAATCTTCAGCCAGGGCTCTTTCAATTACCCGTATTGTCCGATCAAAAAAGATGAGAAATTCCTCTGAATGAAGGATCTGCTGTTTTTCTTCCTCTGTCAGCTCTCTTGGAGGGGCTTTATTGATTTATTTTTTTGTAAAAGAGATTGTTAGGGAAGGAAAAAGGGACAATTAAAACTTATCAAGAGGAACCCAACTCTTGAGAGAGACTGCTTATCAAAGGCGTGGCAAGACACAATGAAACAAATCATTGCTAATATTGATTCTAAATTATTTATAAATTCACACCAAAGGCTTCTGCAGATGTCCCCACAAAAAGATTGCATATTTGGTCCAATTATTATTTTGAAGAGTTGAAGAAGATTACAAATAAAAATAGATTGGTGTGTTTTTAGCAATCAGTTCTAAATGTTTTTTTTTTTTAACCTAAAAGCAGCTCAAATATGGCATAATAGATAAATTCACAAAACTATGTATTTATATATGCTATTGTACCATTGTCAAGCTGGCAACATTAAATAATTAGGAACACTGTATAATATGATCCACATAGTACGTTTCCTCTTTCTACTGAGTAAATTCATAAATTCATTTTATTTTAAATGGTTAGTTGGTAAGGCTGACTGATTGTTATATAGATTATATTCAAAAGCAGAAATATATCATTCCAAACCTGCTTTCACTCAAGATCTTCCGTTTTTAAACAAACACATGGAACAAATACATGCTTCTATAAAACAACCCACAATTGTTTTTCTGCCTTACCTTTCTAGCATGATTAATCTTATCGAACTAAATTTGAAGATAGAAAATGAGACAAAGAGATCAAATAACTAGCAGTATGTCATAGTTTCTGAAAGTGAGCTCACCTTGGAGTCACCATCTGGTTACATAAACCATTCCTTCAATTGCAAGTTTTACATAAAACTTTAGGGAAGGGATTAGGAACTCCCCAGTCTGAAAAACCCTCAAGGGCAGAAACTGTCAGCTGAACCTTTGTGGTTCTTCCAGAACCCCAGTTCAACTCCAGTGGAGAGAGCCTTCAATAAACTTTTCATTGGTTACTCTTTCAGTTAGTAGTACAGAAGCTCCTGAAGTTAAACTTACAGGAGGAGGGTAGTGCATTACAATCACAGGTGGAGCCTCTGGTGGAACCACTCACCCACAGGGTTTTTCAAGCACTTCCACAACCATCCTAATAACCAGATCGATTTCTACCTGGCCACATGGTCAGAAGAAGCTTTTAGGTACTATCACCTGTAGCATAATATTTTATGAAAGTGTTACATAATTTGATTAACTGTATTTTGAAGCCTAAGAAATCTGTAGTGTCAAGAAGCCCTCCTACAGAGTCAAGTCATGGCAGTGGATCCAATGTTCATAACAGCTCCCTCTTTCTAGCCTCCCCTTCCCTGCCCCAGACCATGATGCAGGGGGTCTGGAGAAACATGAGAATCTCTATTTGTACAAGAAACTAGAATGATCCTGATGTAGTTCATTCACACCTTAAGAAATGCTCTCCAGGTAATATTAGGGCAACATGTGATTCATCCATTACAGCAGAAGAATTTCTCCTAACATACCCCACCTTGTAGTTTCTAGCAGCCGTAAATAAAATTAGAAATATTTCTTTGCTGTCTAAGCCTCTGGAGCCCTAAATAGTCCAGTGTGTACTGGGACTTTCCAAGGACCCCATCAACTTCTAGTGCGCAGTGCTGCTGAGACACTAGTTTGTGAAATGCTGAATCAGGCAATGTGCACACTCAGACTTAAGCTAGGTAGTGGGAAAATAGGTGGAGGTCATAAATAACACAAAGAACTCTATGAAACCAACCTGGATTCCAGCACCCTGCCATATGCTAGCTTTGATTCATTAATCAATGCACTGAAGCTCTCTGGGCAGTAGTTTTATCTATGAAATGGGGATGATACCTAAACTTTAAGTCTGGTTTAAGAATTAAAGCTAAATATGCTGGGCTTCAATAATTGGTGATGAAGTAGTACTGTACTAGTCTGCTTTCTTTTTTGTTTGTTTGTTTTTTTTTTTTTGAGACACTAGTCTGCTTTCTAAAACTCTTGTAAATGAGACATTTGAATTATTTCACTCCAGAATATAATAAAACTACATAATGGAACTAGGCAAAAGGGGAAAATACCCTACAAAATGATAGGTCCATTTTGTTTTGGTTAATACTGTTAAATAAATGAATAAACCTGACTAAACAAGAATACTATAGGCCAAGAAGAATGTCTTATTTAAAAAGACTCACTTGGCTTTGGTCACTGTTAACAGATGACTTGAGACACACTTGAAATTAAACAAAGAAGTAGGAATTTTTCTCCCTTATTTCTTTTTTTATGATATTAAAAAATCTTTCTAGCCTCTGTGTATCTTTTCTAACCACTTCTATTTCACCGGTATCTTTCCTTACAGGTCCATTACCTTGAATAAAAAATAGTATCTATGTAATTTTCTGTAATTTTTTTCTTCCCTGTAGCCTATTGTCACTTTGATCTCAGCTTTCAAGACACACAACTTCTTCTCTAACAGAAACATAAATGGCTGATCAAAGTGTGCTTGTGGAGGCCAAGTTCAGGTAGGTGGAGCACTATCCTCTCCAGATATTATGTTTGACAATACAATATTTGGCTTGAAATTAAAATGCTACCGAAGCAAACAAAAGATATATTTTATATTAAGCTTTGATGTCGAACAGGGATCAAATGACATGATTTGTTAGCAGAAAATAATCAGATGCATGTGCAGATGAGTACTTTTTAAAAGTTATAAACAATATTCAACTTAATTAAATAGGGCCATAGTAATTTTTGATTGTATAAACAAAACCTCTGATACTTAATCTTTAAATTGATAAGTATTTTTCAATATCATGAAAACACAATGGAGTATCCAGGAACCACAACCAAAAGGTGTGTTCAGAGATAAAAACCTCTCTAGGCATCATATTTCATGAAAGAAAATTGGTTGATTAATGGAGCCCACAAAGTTCAAAATACAGGACTAAACAAATAGAATCGGAATTGTTTTACTCCAAGAAAAATGCCAAATTCTACCTGAAGTATCTGTTTCTACAGTTTTTCCCTATCCCTGGAACCTAATAAATTATTTTTTAACAAGTTCATGGCATTAAAAAGGTAGGAATTTAATAGCAAAGGGCATACCAAAACAAAACATGGGCATGGATAATAGTTTTTCTTATGGGTTAAGCAGAAAATACTATTATAGCAGATTTTTTCTTTGTTTGTTTTCACAACACAAAACATGGGATGTTTCTGCGAAGAACTGACAGCTAACAATACTTTGTGCATTTAAAGAGCTCTTTAAGAAGAAGTACATTCTACTCTATGAAAAGTAGAATGCATGGATATAACTTACATATAATCCAAATGATAAGACAATTTTCAAATTTACCAAAATTTAACCAGTTATATTATTTTATATCATGTATGAAAGAAATTTTGCTGAATACATGAAATTCAGAAGACAGCCTAATTCTATCAATTTGTGGCCCGCAAAATTAAAATCAAATATAAATTTCATTTAGGGTCCATTTTTTAATTGTGGAAATGTTAATTTTTCTTATTTTTATATATGAAAATACTTTTAAATGTATCTTTCAAGCATGACTGTATCTCATTTGCTGTGTTTTCTTGACTTTTCCTGCTATCCTCAATGTATACTTCGTCAGTTTGTCTTTAATTAATTTATACTACTTTAAACTATATCTTCTGGATTCTAGCCTTCTTGTGATTTTTTCCCTCTATAAAAATGTACAGTTTATAATAAGTTCACAACTTATATTGAGATTTTAGTATCTCATTTCTATGTTAAAAGTTATTTTAAAAATATCTACCACCAGTATGTCTTGACTTGTTTCAGCAATGTTGCTTTAAATTTCAATATAAAAATTATTCAAAAATATTTTTCAAGAATCTCTAAGAGATAAAAAATAAATAAACCCATGTAGCCAGGAAAAACATTAGATTAAATAAGGACAGTGGCTCTCATGGGAATTTTACAGTGAAATCAGTTCATAAACAGCAGCAAGAAAACCAAACCAAACTAAAAGCGAAGGATATCTTTCTGTGAAGTCAATGTGAGGTTTATGAGTTGATTTCGTATTTACAAAAAAGTTAAGTTCCCAGTTGTGTTGTTTTGAATTTCTAAACATGAAGACATGAGGACACTGACATTTGGAAGTTTTCTAAACTTTGATTACAAGCTAAAATATACCTGCTTTTTTCCTACTCTATGGCAGAAAAAAGTGAAACAGTAATAAATCAAGACTGCATTTCTTTACTGTTTAATGCACTTTGATGTCACACGGGCAAAAATGTCAAAAGTTAGTGAGTACTGATTGTTTTCCCCATGTCCCCCTCAACACTTTTTTCTTCCTTTTCACTCAAAAAAAAAAAAAAAAAAAAAGCCAGATTTCTCAAAAATGTGTTCCCTGGTTTGAAACTGTGTATGTCAAGTTTCAGCCCAGAGCAAATTTTTATGGCTGAGTAATAAATCCCTGAAACGCAGGGTTCATAATGGAAGTGCTGACACAGCCCTAACTACTATGCAGTCGTGTGAATGGCGCCACGATTATATCTGCTAAAGATTCTTTCAAAAGTTTGCAAAATACTGTCTTGCTTTAAAAAAAAGCCAGAGTTTGATGCCAACATAAACATGCTTTTAACCCATTATGTGTTAATTTGCAGAAGAGCCATTAATGGAGAATAAGGCACACAGTGCAGCAGGAACAGGAAATGTTCTTTCAAACTTCTTTTTGACTTTTAACATGACTTTAATCAATTCCATGAAGCATGAGTAACAGTTAAAACTGAAGGGTGTTTTCACTTGGAACTTAAGAAGGAGGTTGCTTTGCTTTGCTGGAGAAGACGATTTGGAGATTGGGGCTGGGGTGCTGGTGATGGGGAATCTATGCCAAGACACACAAAATATACCCCAGCTCCTTATCACCAGGTATATTTTAAGAATATTTTGCAAAGGGTAAAGGAGTACTTTAATAGATCCTGACTTATTTTGTACCTCACTACACCTGTAATCATGATATTCTATTCACCAACTTTTTTTTAAAAGATGTTTTTAGTATAAGTTTAAATGTGAGATCTCTTTGATCAAATTCATTTAGACTCTCAGAAAGAGTAAGCCTTGTGTCTTCTGTGAATGCCACTGTTAAAATGCTGAATCTTCTCCTAAACCTCAGTCACACCCTAGAACTTGACAGCGATTGAACTTCTCAATGTCTGAGACCTAGCACAGTAACAGAAAGAAGACCTTTTATGATAGTTCTCCAACGAGTTTAGAGGACTTTGCTTGTATCTCTATTGATAGTTTCACATTTTTTAAATGTACTAGCTGGGGCCCCTGTAACCATGTTCTTATTTCAAAGCTATGGGCTATGGCAAACCTAAGCACAGAGAGCTGGGGCTCCCAAGGGCATCCATCCCACCAGGGTAGAAACCAGTTATAGACCCAGGCACTGCAAGGCAAGACTACTAATGATAATTTAGCAAACTTTTATACAGCACTTACTTTGGGCCAAGTATTGTTCCATACTAGCCCTGTTGAGTTTTTAAAAAACCTGTTTGCCAGATGGGGAAACTGAGGCAAAAAAAGGTTAAACTAACTTAGTCTGTAGTGATCACTCAGCTAATAATCTACAGAGACAAGATTTGATTCCAGGTAGTGTGGCTCCAGAGGCTATGCTTTTTCATTATTATCTCACACTGGCTTTTAGATACCTGAGATTGCATAAAACAAACCAAAACTAAATTAAACACCCACACTCAGACACACTTCAAATGAGCCTCAATATGAAGTGATTTTTAATAATTTTCTACAATTGTGGCTGGGCGCGATGGCTCACGCCTGTAATCCCAGCACTTTGGGAGGCTGAGGCAGGTGGATCATGAGGTCAGGAGTTTGAGACCAGCCTGGCCAGTATGGTGAAACCCCGTCTCTACTACAAATACAAAAATTAGCCAGGCGTGGTGGCACGCACTTGTAATCTCAGCTACTCGGGATGCTAAGGCAGGAGAATAACTTGAACCTGGGAGGTGGAAGTTGCAGTGAGCTGAGATCAAGTCACTGCACTACAGCCTGGGACAGAGCGAGATTGCCTCAAAAAAAAAAATTGTCTCATTTAACTCCATATGATATGGATGTCATTTGTAATAGGTATTTGGGCTACTCTAATTTTCTCATGAGAGCACAAGATGTTGAAGTGAGGACTTGGGATCAGTATGTATCAATTCCTACAAAAGACCCCAGTGCTGAACATCTGCCACACTGTGCCAGAGCCACAACCATCTTTAAAATTTACAAATCAAATGAGCTTCGAATCAGAGTTATATTGATCTATACTTGGGACACTCAGTAGGAAATATGGAAGAACATTTTTAATCTACATTCAGCTTTCAGGTCCCACTCTCCATTTGCCAGCAAGTAAGACAAGTTCAAAATTCTCTTCTGTCTCCATGGGCTGAGAATCTCAAGGTAATACAAGGTTGGGTTTGTAAGGAAATGTCACCTGCAGTATTTCCTGTCCCTCCTTTTTTTTCTCTCTTTTCTTTCTTTCTTCTTATAGGTACAGTGCTATCATGAGGAGGGAAACAGGGTAAAATGTACACTTTGGATTTAACTCTAAATCTTGGCTCATGTACTCATACATTATGTATCCTTGGATAAATTTTTAGATCTCTCTCTTCCGAGTTCTCTGCCTATAAAATAGGGGTAATAATAGTATCTGCTTCAAAATAATGTTTTAATGAGTGAGTAGTATCTGTGGAGTGCTTAGAAGAGAGCCAAGGGCATAGTGAGCCCTTAATAAATGTTAGTTAATATTATCACCAGAACATGTAAGAGGTTGTTCCTCCTTATACAAGCAGAGTTGCAGAAGAAAAATTTTAATAGCAGAGTACTAGCGTTGATCACTATTAATGTTTCTATGTAGATCACATGAAAACACTTTAGAATTTACTGACAAAATAATTATATCTAGTCCTTTGCTTTACTGTTATCATTGGGAATATATGGTTCTGTGAACAAGATAACATGGCAATTCGTAACAAGTGTTACTGGAATTGTGACTAGAATTGTTACTGAAATTGTGGACGTTTTGCACTTTATTTGCCTTTATCAGTCAAGAAATAAATGACTCTTGCTTTGGAGATTACAGTTTATGTTGCTAAATGTAATGTATTGTACAGTCCTAGAAAATCTTCCATATAGGGGATGCAAAATCAATTTTTACTTAGCTCTATAGCCTCTTATATCAGTAAAGGCAAACAAAACAGTAAGATGATTACTCAATTTATTTTCCATACCATACCTTCCTTCACTTCCTGTTTTTTGTCCTGATTTTCCAGTTCTGAGTCCTGGCCAACTTTAGGTTCCACCATTTCCTCATCTTCCTCATCCTCTAGAAAAAAGAAAGAGAAAAATACAATATTTTCTTTCCTCCAAATCAAAGTCTTTGGTTGATAGTGGGAGGTAGGGGTAAAGGGTAAAGTTCCAATCATTTAGGGCAACATCTAAGTAAATCAGTCCACAATGAATGCTCAAGATAAATGTTCATGAATTTATGAATAAATTATCTCCAAAAGGGGCCTCTTTGAAAATTTCCCCAAGCTGTTGAGAAAACCACACCGAAAGGGCACCTGTACATCCAGCTCCAGGCCCTTACCATGTGGGATGTCTTGGAATTGCCTCCCTGACCTCTGAAGCTTCTTCGAAGATGGCCCAGGAATAGATTTTAAAATGTTTCCACCTGGAGCACATTTTCCACAGGGGACACCTGTTGTACAGATGACTCATTTCCAATTTAATTCTCACCAAATTAATTTGTTTTTGACCTACAGGAAGGGGTTAAATACAGGTCTGACCCCAGGTCAAATGCCATTGGCAAGTAAACAACCAAGGGAAGGGCCCCCAAAGTCAATGCCATTGGTCTGGGAGAAAACAACTCAAAATGGTATTTACACATTCAGAGCAGTTCATGCATTAATGTGAATTTAATGAGACTAACAAGTCGACTGAGTTGGCTACCCCTGCCAGATGTTACAGTGCCCTTCCTGCCCTATGCAAATGTATGCTCGTTTTTCCTCTTCTCTCAACTTGCCTTTCCTAGAGGCCCCTTCCATTATAGAGTGTTTGAAAGCATCAGGCACAATGCAGAAGGTTTAGGGGAGAGTCAAGGTGTCACAAGAAAATCCAAATTATAGAAAATAAAATGATATAAAAAATAAAATTTGCTTTCAGTCTTTAAATATGGTATTGTACTCCATGTAGGTTATCGATTTCATTGGTTCAAATACAGTTGAAAAGAAATGACTTTGCTTTTCTCTCTACCCCATATATTTGCTCATTCAATAAATATTTACAGACCTTCTATAAAATCCCAAGCTCTGTGGATAGTCCCATTTCCATCACAATAAATCCTGAGATTCATCAACTCAAAATTTCAGCAGCAATCGCTTAGAATATATTATAAATGCATACTTAAATGCTCAAATAAATAAATACATCCTGAAAAACAACTTACAAAATTCTAACTAATATTAAGCAAGTGATTTGTGGAAGGAATATCAATTTTAAAAATATACATATGTAAAGCATAGCATTGCAATTTAGATATTAGAATTTTAAAAATATGAATTTTAATTGAAATATTATACTCTATAGGCATGCAGGTAGACTGTGGAGCCAAGCTCACTACTTTATAACCACACTATATATATATATATATATATATATATATATATATAAAAGAAAGGAAGTAAAACATTTTAAAGAACTGTCACTTACTATTCACACAAACCCCTAAGGTCACATTTATTAGATGAAACGTCGCACTTAAAATTTTGAAATGAACACTGTTACCCAGACTTTTAAACAAATAAATCTTTAAAAAGTTAAGTTACAAATAGCATATCTATGTCCTTATCCATATGTCAAGATATTAATGCTATCTCATCATACACACACACAAAAATCCATTTGGAAAGTCCTGATCAAAATATCCATCTCGACATGATGTATCTTCCCGACCCAAGGACTAAACACAAAGTCTAGTGAAGATCTAGCTGGAGAGGTTTCCTCTTTCAGTAAACCCTGGATGAAGAGGCAGTTTTCAAAAGGCCTCTCAGCTGCTGGTAAGTGGCTTCATTTCTGAACCTTCTGGAGACATTTCTTTAACAGATTCAGCAGCCATACCCTGACACTTATTAAGTACAGGGCAAATACAACAAAAACCAAGGTAATAAGGCCAGAACTATAGGTTGAACTGTGTCCCCAAAATTCATATGTTGAAGTAATAAACCCCAGTACCTCAGAATGTGGCCTTATTTGAAGATAGGGTCACTGCAGATATAATTAGTTCAAATGAGGTTATAATGGAGTAGGGCACCTAATCCAATATGACTGGTGCCATTATAAAAAGGGAAAACTGGACGCAGACACGCACACGCATAGGAAGAACACCATGTGGAGACGAAGGCAAAGATCAGCCTGATGCTTTTACAAGCCAAGGAACACCAAAGAGTGCCAGAAAACCACCGGAAGTTAGGAGAACAGATTCTTCCTCACAGTCCTCAGAAGGAACCAAGCCCACAGACTTCTTGATCTCAGATCCTAGCCTACAGAACTGTGAGGCATTACATTTCTGTTGTTTAAATAGCCAGTTTGTGGTATTTTGTTATGGCAACACTAGAAAACTAATAAAGCCAGTAAGTGCATTTCCTTCTATAATCTTACAATTTACTAAGAAGGGATACAGGAGATATTCAATAATCTTAAGGCAGTGATGAGTGCATCACTTGTATAATCTAATTTATTTATCAGAACTTAGTACCATTCGTCCAGTTTTACAGATGAGGAGACAGAATAATTTCCCCCGAAGGAATTGCAACCACATCCCGCTTCAAGTTCTGTCTGGCTCTGCCTGTTTTGGGGTCTGTGATCTTTAACCACTATGCAAACTGCCTCCTGAACCACAGCATGATGTGAAATAGAGATGCCACGGAGAAAGGGCTGAAATACAAGCAGCTGCAATGATATGTTGCAAGGTAAGGAGGCTTTGCAGGGACTTTTTGAGGTGGACTTGCATGGCCTCAACATGGATTGTTCGTCCACATTCAGGAGGTGAGCAAATACAAGTTGTAGCTGAGAAGTTATGTTTCACACCCTTGAGAGCTGTACATAATGGATTATTTTATTTATCAGGTATATATATGCTACAACCACATTCTGTTCTAATTTTCATTCTGGAATCCACTGCTTTGAGACCTGGCCGGCAATGCTTAATATGAAGTGTTAATTCCTCCAGCCAGAAAGATTCACAGCTAGGGTGAGAGCAGCACCCTGAGGGAAGTATTTGATCTTGTTCCAGGCTGGAGTCCACCACTTGCTGGCCCCTGGGTTTTATCCAATTCATAGGAACTCTCTGAGCCCCCATTTCTGATCCGCTGGAGTGGGATAATAAACCTTCCTTAAAACACATTGTTATTGTAAGAATAACTAAGTAAAATAACAAATGCAAAATTGCTTTTTAAACCATCAAGGTCATTGGGAACATACTTAAGCAGAAATCTTCAAAACAAATGTTGCCTTAGATTTTAACAAATATTGACTGAGCACTTACTATGTGCCAGGTGCTGGGCACACACCAGGGAACAAGACAGACAAAATAATCTCTGTGCTCATGGAGCTTCCATTCCAGTGGAGAGAAACCACAAACGAATAAAAAAAACCAAAATATATACTGTGTCAGACAAGTGCTATGGGGGAGAATACAAAATAGGAAAGAGATGAGGCATTCTGGTCAAGAGTGGGAGAGTCTCAATTTAAAACAGAGTGAAAAGGCCCATCAAGGCCACACCGAGATGACATGTGAGCAAAAACTTAAAGGAGTTAAGGGAGTGAGTTGTGTGAAGACCTTGGAGGAAATAAGACTAGTAATAAATAGATTCTTGCTTCTCAATCCATGGACCCAACGGAAGTAATGGATCAAGGTCTGTATTCATTGATAATTAGCTATACTGACTATAGATAACAATTGTGCCTTCATTACAGCCATCTAGTTTGTGCACTTAAATCTTCTAGTTCTTAAAACTAAAAGCAGTTTTACCAAATGACTTTGAATTAGTCAGCTTTAAATAGTAACAAGTTCTCATCTTTCACAGCTATAAGGGTGTTTATTTTAAACATTAATTCTCAGAAGAGTCAAAAAAGAAACACCACGACCAAAAGTGCCACTACCAGCTTATTGGAAAAATATTATTCTGTGAAGGGCTTGGCTATGAAAAGGACTAGGTTTGTGATACGATGTCTAGGTTTATGCATAGAAGCATGTGAGGAAATAGCAGGTTATCTAATTCCTTAAATGGAAAATCCTTCCCCACAGAATATGTTTTTGATTAGTCTAAAAAAAACCACACACACACAACAAATATGTATTGTGTTTATAGTATGTACAAATGAGAAACTGTGAAAAACAGTGAAATTTAAAAAATAGTACCCGCCCTTTTAAAGTGTCTACAAACCAGTTGTAGGTATTAATTTTTAGTGGTCACAGAATTCTTTGTCTGTCATCCTTTTAAAGACATAAAGTAAGTTTTTCGGTGGATTTGCTAAGGAAATAAAACACAAGAGACTGGTTTGTTTCTCTGCATACTGATATGTTTGCCTTGCTCAGCAAAGAGAGTATATTTTTCTTTAAAACTCTGGTTTCCTTTCTGGTGCAATTGGAATTACTTCTGTTGAAACCATTTTCAAAACAGTTAAATAACTTTAAAGAAAAGGATTTATGTAGACCTGCTACAGACTACTGATATATGAGTTGTGCCACTAGTTCATACCCAGTTACGTTTCCTTAGAGATTGGAGGGAAGAAAATTACCACCCATGTATGGTTTCCTGTATCCAGGTCCACACAAGAAATTAAACTAGTGGCAGAAGTTAATTACCTGTCAGTCCAAGGGGCTAATTTCTAAACAATGGCATCTTTTAGACACATTATTTTATTTAATACCCATATTCTGCCGTCTCCAGTTGCCACATTCATTCCCCCTGGCTGGAAAAATCTTTGGTAACCACTGTCTTCCTCCCTTAAGATTTTCAGAGGTCTAAGAACGAATAACTGCGTATTATGCAGCAATCACAGATAACACACTCAGCACGAGGCTCAACCCTTTGCCTGAGCTCTAGAAGAGTTCGTTTCCTCCATTAATCCATGGCTCTAAATGAAGCCGATGTAGACCGTTTTAGTAACAAGTCAGTGAGTAACAGCTCACTGACTTGTTCTGATAGCCTTACAAATGTGAGGTATTTGACAGGGAGTGCAGTGGAACATTTGTCAGTGTTTGGCAATACAGTATAACAGCAAAACCCCTTTCTGTCCGGGGCATATTCCCTTTGTAGCAAT